AGGAGAACAATTTGACTTATTTGTACACATGCTCCATTAACCTCTCCTTTGACCCGTTTGCAGGAAAACTCTGAAAAGAAGCTTCTAAAAATAGAGAGAGTACAACAATCAAGCAAGAGAAAGCGTGCACAGCAGACAAGGAATAATGCTCATTGGTCTAAAGAAAAGAAAGGTATGTGGGTTTCAGAATCTAAAGGAAAAATTCAACCCTAAGCCATCTAATCAAGCAACTTGCTTCACTTGTCAGAGCACCAGTTCATCGCATTTCCATACAATCACGGAATAGCTGAAGAGGAATCACAAGATTTCCATCCTCTCCCTCAGCCTATAAATAGGAGAGCCCCAGACGAAGAAAACGATCGAATTCTTTAAGAAGGGATCATATAGTTCATAGTTTAAGTTTCTGTTTTATAACTTGTATAGTTTTAACAATATCTAAGTGACAACAACCCTTTCCCCATTCTCCATCACCATATGAGACTCTTCACGAGAAATTTCCATATTTCTCCATTTTATTTCTCAGTGTTGTAAAACTTGTTGTTTATTAATATGTGTTTGTTATTTCTCTTCTCTTCTACTCGTTATCTTCAACCTGAATCTTGGGTCTATGAGATTTCAAATTGAAATAACTATGTTTAAGTTTTCAGCCATGGGCTAAGTAATTATGGAATGAAAAAACTGTGAAATTCTTAAAGAACTATGTTCAAAACTCTTGTACTGAACCTTTTGTATTTCTATGATTCAAGTAATTTTAATTCTTTGAGTATCAATGGAAATTCAATGCAAACTGAGAAAGGAACTTCGTTAAGGGAGGGATTTCAAACAACTTAATCATAGGGGGAAGGTAAAATTGTGGAAACAATCATACTGGTTGCCTTAGGAATAAGGAACCACCTCGTTCCCTAAAGGTTCTGAGCTTAGTAACTGTTGGAGTCAAGGGAGCCATAGGAATATGAAAACTTGTGAGCTATTTAGTCTATGAGCTGAGGAATCAGAATTGGCAGTGAAAAGACCTGAACAAATTCAGAAGGATTAAGTCTTGAGTTGAGAGCATAGCTATTTAAGAATGAAGCAGTGGATCCGTTCCTTGTGTTAAAAGTTGTTTTTGTCAATCATTTCATCTTTTTGTCTCTTAATTATTGTCATCTTTAAATTCTGCAATTAATATTCTGTTATCACAACACCAAACCTCCCACGATTTTTTTGTTCCTCCTGAAATCAGGAAAGATTTAATATATCGACGAGGAGTTGTTTAGAGTCAATTTGAACCTATTATCTTAAGGAAACGTCTTTAAGGTACTAGGGAACGAAAGGCCAAACAGTTCAATACTGTTATTTTATTCAATTCAAATTCTTTTTAGATTAGTTCAAAATATTATTTAGAGTTACTATCCTCATGAGAACGATAATTTGGGCATTAATAATCCCCCTTATTACTTGATGCGTGCACTTGCGCAACTGGGTCAATATCTTGAGAACAAGTGAGTTTTCTCTTGATAGACTAAGTAAAGGAACGTCCTTCAAAGCACCAGTACCCAACATAGTGCAAGCAAGTTGGTCATAACATACGTACATGTCCAATGAGGAATACACAGACTTAAATTGTCTTTTGCAGTTAGTTTTGTAATGAATTGTTCATGTATTGTGATTTGTAAGCCGATGTGATGTATCCAACTATTGTTCGTGTATTGTTTATGTATTGTGATTTGTAAGCCAATGTAGTGTATGCAACTATTGTTCATGTATTGAAATGTCCATCTCTTTTGCAATGTGTTAATGTGATATATGCAACTTTTGTCGTACCAAATGAACAAGGCCCACAAATGAATTGAACTAGTCCTAATATAGGAGTACATATGAAATGAATCAATTTTATGTATTTAAAAACACAAAATAGGGTTTTGGTACACCAAAACAAACTTTAATGGCAAATTTCGTAGATTTAGGGAATCGTGTTAGCACATATGTATTTTAGACCACAAATCCCTTCCCCAAGTCACATTTACTAAGTTCATGAGTGTTGAAACTTATTTGATAAAAATAAAACTCGTGGAAATAGAACCATGTGGCTCACAACACTGGTTTATTTTTATCAAATGAGTTTCAACACTCATGAACTTAGTAAATGTGACTTGGGGAAGGGATTAGTGGTCTAAAATACATATGTGCTAACACGATTCCCTAAATCTACAAAATTTTCCATTAAAGTTGGTTTTGGTGTACCAAAACCTTATTTAGTGTTTTTAAATACATAAACTTGATTCATTTCATATGTACTCGTATATTAGGAGTAGTTGTAGGCCTTGTTCATTTGGTACGAAATTTTTTGCATACATCACATTAACACATTGCAAAAGAGATGAACATTTTAATACATGAACAATTCATATCACAATACATGAACAATAGTACCAACATCGAAAATTGTCATCATTTTTTACGACTTCAATAACATAAACCAAATAGACATCCATTTCATTAAATAAAAGGTTTAGTACATAGAGAAAATACATAAAATAAATACAAATTACATGAACAAAATAATATAACTTAGACAACCATAAATCTACTTCTCCGCCTCATCTGACTCGGTCTCCTCCTCCTCTTCATCTGAGACATCAACCCCCTCCTTTGCTACCTTCTCAGCCTCCTGTCCTCGCGCAAGCTCTAGACAACCAAGCCTTTCCTCCAAGCCCTTGAGTCGTCCTGAATATTCTGAAACCTTTCATCCTCTTTTTGTATGTGGCTCTTCCACCTTCTTTACTAATTAAGCTCCAGCTTACCTATCCTCTTAAGTGTGGCTGAGATGCCTTTCATGACGCCACGAAACAAAAATCCACCCTCAGGCTCAATAATCTCCTCTGTGTCAGCATGATCATCATCATCATCATCATTAGCCTTAGCCTCAACCATATTTTCATCTGGGGCAACCTTAGGGACCTCAATCTCACCCTGTGTTGAGAATTGCCACACACCCTACCTATTCTGGGAGATCTTGCATTGCTTCAATAGAAGCTTCCCAAGCTTGGCATTAGGTCTTGTGCGGGTCTTCAGCCGGCCAATGTCTATGGGAACACCAAAAAGCTCCAATATCCTCTGAACCAGAAAGGAATATGGAAGTGCACCCTTATGCTTGGCTTTAACCATCATCCAACAAATATAGTGCCTCCTATTCACCTGTACGCTATGACAGATAGCCCACATAATAGGAATGTCACCCTCCAGCACCCTCGAATGATTGAAAGCTTGCGGGAACAATATGTGGGTGATGAAGTAGTGCAATATACGAGCATCAACACTAAACAAACCAGTAATATAATGAAGAGTCTGCCCATGTCTGATATCAGGCCTCCTGGACTCTGCCATAACATCACCCCACACAAATCCAAGAAGTGTAACATTGCTATCCGTATCATACTCCATTGTGAGATGACCATCAAAGTCGTAGCCTAAAAGCTCCAACCATATCAGAGTCATCATAACTATGTCCACACCGAAGACGTAGGACCTCAGCTCTCCCTGTATGTAGCTGAGGTTATAATAGAAGGTCCTCACCATAACCTTTCCCCTTAGATGATTGGGTGAAAGTCAACGTGGATGGATCTTGCTCTCATGGGAATAACCTAGTTAGTTGTGGTGGTGTGATCAGAGATGCTACTGGTAAATGGCTAGTTGGTTTCTCTAAATATCTTGGGCGTGGGAGTTCTGTTATGGCTGAAGTGTGGGGCATTTTTACAGGTTTGGAGGTAGCCTGGGAGCATGGGTACCGTCAGGTTCATCTAGAAGGGGACTTTACTACATCACTTGCCTTGATTAACCAAGGTGGACTCTAAAACGGAGATGTCTCTCCCAAAATTATTTTTTTCATTTCCACGACTCGAACTCAAGATTTCTGATATAAACATTTTTTGATACTTTTTAAATAATACCACTAGTAAAAAGTAAAAAAAAAAAAAATCCATGATTGAAGTTGACTTGGTCAATAATTGAGTCATGACTGGGTTCGGGTCTAAGTCCGAAATATTGATCAGGACTAGACTAGGTTAAATTCAATCTAACTTATCCAACGAACACTCGAACAGATAGCAAATAAATAATTAAAAGTTAATATTTTAAATATAAAATAATTATATAGTACAAAGAATTATCTAATTATTTATTATAAAAGGATAATATGTTAATCATTAATTACTTTAGTTTATACGATTAGCCTGGACTCAATGACAAGGCTATGTAACTTGCATTAAGCCTCCGTTGATATAAAACAAAGTTAGTTAAATTAAGGATTAAAAGTTAAAAGACTAATTACAATAAATATTTAGGATATAATATTTATATCAATATATAATAAAATTTATTTCATTATATCTACAAAAAAAATTCATTTTATTATAACCCTCCGTGCATTGCACGGGTTAAAATACTAGTTTATTAAATACAATTAACATTCAATAAATATTTATTAATTCATCTTAAATAATAATAACATAAAAAATGTGCACAACAATAATTTAGTCTATAGTTAATAAAAAAGAGACTATACATGATTCTAATTATTAAAAGTATATAATTTTTTTTGTTAAGATTATATAAACACAAGTGAACCCTTAAACAAATTACTGTACCAAATGCAGTTATGTTTTTCAACTTTAGTCTGTAGATAATTCTTTTTCCGAATAATAGAAACCTGGAGGCAGATAACTGGACACAGAGAGAGATGCGGCAATGGAGAATGACTATGATAAAATAAAAAGATAAAGCGTAATAGGGAATAAAAATAAATAAATAATAATAAAGGTTATCCAGAGAAGCACATAGTTGTCAGATGAGTCATCGCGTGTCTGAAAGCTAATCCAGTGAGACATGGACAGCCCACAGCTGTAACCCTCTTCTTCGCACGTGTCAACCGTCAAGCCCTAAACTCAATCCAACTCACCCTTCTTTCTTATAACCTTCCCTTCTTCCTTCACTCTTGTGTTTGGGTTTCATTTCAACCCTCTCTCTCAACTTTCCAACTTTCACTTTTTCAAGCACGTACTTGCACGCTACAACACACACATACACATTGACAACTAGTGTGGAAAATTGGGACATTTACTATTATTACTGTTGTACCTTAGTGGAAGCTACAAGACCCCAAACACAATACAACTTAAGCGAGTTTGGTTGGTTTGAGTTTCGGTAGTGACACCACAACTACAACAAACCAAAGCATAGTTTAGTTAGTGTAGACTTCAAAACCGCCTTGTCCTATCCACACTTGGACTTCCACCTCACCCTTTCTTAACGCCATGAAAACAGGTCAGGCTCTCTCTCTCTCTCTCTCTCTATATATCTAAATATCAATTTCTGCAAGATCCATGTTGGAGCGTTGTTGAGCTTTGCTTAATTAGTATTTTTCCTTTTTATTATATCTTAAACCTTTTCTAACTTTGGCTTTTCCTGAGTTTTTTTTTTTTTTTTTTTGGTTCCAATTTACAAGGCTCTCTTTATTTTTTCCGTTTTTTGGTTATTGGTATTTGGGGTTGGTTCACCATATGACATCTAATACAATTCCAATTTTATGTAGAACTATCATAATGTTATTTCGTGCTCTTTCTGCTTCTACCTCTTTTTGATAATTTTGTTTTGCTTTTGTTTCTATTCCTTAATTAGCTTATTCGTTAATCTATAAGAGGTAGCTGGAGAAGGAAATATAGTTTGATGAATGATAAAATATTTCGAAGAATCTGAACAATTATACGTTTGTAATTATTGCTTGCTAAGGAAAGTATTTTTGGTTGAGTTGCTGTGGCATTCTCTAAAACAAAAGCAAGTTAATTGGAAGAGGACTTGCTTGTGTTTATGCTTGCTGCAATTTCCAACCGATTTCACCAAGATTTATCTTTCGCATATTGGATTAAAAGTAGGTTTTGGTTTGGTTCTCTGATCTAAAAGAGGAAAGGAATTAACATATAGTGTAATAAAAATATAGTATCATCTACGGATAAGAACTTACGCGCAAAGGGGAAAATTAGGCTTTGTTTGATTGGGTGTAGAGAAGGAAATAAATGATATCGTTGTGAAGGAAACATTCGTATGTTTTCTATCTCATTAAATGAAAAACAGAATGGTCCAAAAATAACAAACATCAGTATGATGACAAGGTAGATAGGTGATAGTATATTATAATAAAATACTCATTTTATTTCTTAAATTTGTGCTATCTAAGAATGCCAAAGCAAGGTACTACAGTTGATAGTTTAGATTAGAACAAACCTCATTAAATTACCTAAGCATGATTGTCTCTTGATAAATAGCAACAGTTTTGCTTACCAAAATAAAAACAAAAATAGTAACAGTATTTTTTTCAATTCTGCATTCACATCACTAAAATTGCACTTATAAATTTATATGCATATAAACATCCATCGGTGCACTCAAACAGAAGATAGTTGAGCCATTTTCTCTTGATCATTAGTTAAAGTATGGTTATGCATGAAAGACTCAATACTACATGGGATATAGTAAAGTCATTTTTTGAATGTACTCAAAATTATGGAACTTGGTTTCTGGAATTGTGTAATTATGCTTCCTCTATACAGTTGTAATTAAAAGATCATCATGTACCCAAGACCCCTTACTCAATTAACTGAGTCTTTTTGAAGATTGCTTTATCCTGAGGTTGAACCCCTGTTTCGAAGGCCATTCTGCCTACACTTTAGCTTATTCCTCCCCACACACCTCTTTGTTACCACCAAAAAGAGAAGGGGGAAAAAAACTGTTAAAAAGGTTGTTATTTGCTATTTGTTCATTGCACTAGTTTTCTAGTAGTTGATGTTGAAATCCATCTAATTATCATCTTTCCAAGTTATTGAGAGTAGTTTCTGCGAGCATCAATTTTTCCAACTAAAAATGCTTGCTTGGGTTTTGGCTAGAGGAGAGAACTGGTTATTAAGTAGAGGGAGATCAAAAATTCAAATTTCACCAAGAGAAGGGTAGGCTTGTCACCTTGATGATGTAAATCTCTTCCATTGTAAAAGAAGTGCTGAATTACTTATTTCTTTGAAGGACAAAACCACTCAAAATAATATTTTGAACTCATTTACTTTATGATCTTGCATTAGATTTGATAGTTGCTGGCTTGCTGCTATTTAATCTGAGTCATGTTAGTGAAATGTAATTTATATTTCTGTATTCAGTGTGTGTTTTCTGACACAGGTAGCTGTTCAAGTTGATCTGATGACCTCCACAGATATCAGCACTTGATCATAGGTCTTTTTGTTCGGTGGTGCTAGAAAAGGGCTTTGTTTCTAAACTAATCTATATGGGAACTGGAGAAGACAGCACAGCTAAACCTCCTAAAAAATCTTCGTCAACTCAGGTTTTTTCCCTACTATCTTCCTGCACTTTTTCCACTGCATGTCCCTACTCCTACATGTCCTTATCATCTGTTTCAATTAACAGGAGCTACCGACAGCACCTTCATATCCTGATTGGTCAACCTCCATGCAGGTAGTGGAATTTATGATAGATTTGTTTCATCATTCTTTCACCATCTGCTGAAAGCTCTTATGCAGATAAATTATATTAGCAACTAATGCATCAGCTTCTTCTTTAGGCCTATTATGCTCCTGGAGGCACTCCACCTCCCTTTTTTGCCACAACTGTTGCTTCCCCAACTCCCCATCCCTATTTGTGGGGAAGCCAGGTAAATTTTATATATCATTTGGGATATATGCAATCATACTCTTTAGAAGAGAATCTTATCATTTATGGTTTTGTTGAATTTTCCAGCATTTAATGCCACCATATGGGACTCCAGTCCCATATCCAGCTTTATACCCTCCTGGGAGTGTCTATGCTCATCCTGGCATGGCAATGGTAAAACACTTGCTCACCCTCTAATCCCTGCAACACCTCTATGCCTGGGCAGAAGAATATGAATTTATCATCTGCTTATACAGGATGAGTTCACATGTTGCAAGGCAATTTTGTTTGTGACCTTTATCATAGTTGGGCATTTTAATTAATAATCTTTCCCTTTTTGTTCGTTTTGGTTTTTTTTAATTATTTTGCTAGACGCCAAGTGCTATGCAGCAAAGTACAGAGTATGAAGGGAAGGTACCTAATGGAAAAGATGGGGATTCATCCAAAAAATTGAAGGGAACTTCTGCAAATACAGGTTCCAAAGCAGGAGAGAGTGGAAAAGCAGGCTCAGGTTCAGGCAATGATGGCATCTCACAAAGGTTTGACAAACCACTGGTTAATTTGAAATGTTTTTGAGATTTATTTCTCTTCAATTTGCTTTCTTAATATGGATTTTCTATATTAAAAAAAAAATCATTAAACAGTGCTGAAAGTGGTTCCGAGGGTTCATCAAATGCTAGTGATGAGAATACTAACCAACAGGTATATAACTGATTATCATCAGTACATGTGCTCTCAATTGCTTTTTTAGAAAATAATAACCTTACTGAAATCTACTTGCCCCCTTTTTTGTTTTACAATTAGCTGTCTATTGTCTTTGTTTCTTTTATATTCACGATTGAATTGATTTATAGTTAAAAGCATGTTGATCTTTTTCCTATCTGTTTTGCGCTTTTGTATGATGATTTCTATCTTTGTAGGAATCAGCTACAAACAAGAAGGGAAGCTTTGACCAGATGCTTGTTGATGGTATGCATCACCTGCATTCATGATAAACGGGCTTTTTTTTTTTTCTTCTAATTTTTGTGTCGGTTGCTGAAATTAGTATTCCCATGAACTTTTTCAGGAGCCAATGCACAGAACAATTCTGCTGTGCCTGGAAATCCCGTTGTCTCAGTGGCTGCAACAAATCGTAATATTGGAATGGACTTATGGAATGCATCTTCTTCTGGTACAGAAGCTGCAAAAATGAGACATAGTCAATCTAGTGCCCCGGGAGCTGTTGCTCCTTCAACCATAATGGGACGTGAAGTTGCACTTGGTGAACAGTGGGTACAAGTACGTGTCCCTCAGTTGTTTTTCTTAAGAATTGTTCTGAGCATGTATTGCTTTTCGTGGTCAACATCTTATATCCTTATGCATTTGTACATCCATCTTACTTGTTCCCACATTTGTACATCCATTATCATATATCTAACATTTGCATTCTTGTGTTAGCTGTCTTTATCTGGCCAAGCCTTACTTTTCCTTACTTTACATTAACTTCATCTGACCCCCTAATGGCTCCTCTGTATTTTGATAGGATGAACGTGAGCTGAAAAGACAGAAGAGAAAACAGTCCAACAGAGAGTCAGCTAGGAGGTCAAGACTACGAAAACAGGTAACTTTCTAATTTCTACGCGTGTATTGCTCTCCCAAGATCAATTTCTCCAGTCACATAACTCGAACTCAAAACCTATGATAAAGGGTAAAAAGCTCCTTGTCACTTGAACCAGTGATTGTTGGTGAAGCCATATTTTTGTGTCATTTTTTACGAAACTACCTTGTTTTGGTATGTTTTTACATTCTCTCTCCTTCACTTTCTTTTTCTTCTTAATTTTTTGAGAAAATGTAAAAAAATACAAAAAACACATCAAATGACGTTTCATAAAAAATAACACAAAGTTGTGTTATTTAAAATGAAAAACACATTTCCCATATATATATATATATATATATGGCTTTACTTTTCTCCAGCCGCTTGACGTCTAGCAAATAAATTTGGGGAATCATAACCATACAAAGTGGGTAAAAGTATTAAATGCAGGGAGTCATAATTAATTAACAGTGATTTATTGCTGGACGTCCCTGCTGGAAAAATGATTGTCATATATATATATATATATATATATTTATATATAGAGAGAAATATTTCTCAAGCACCGAGAGATATATTTATCTCCGTCCACCTCAAAATTACGTCGTTTTGTTTATTTATTACCTTATATTAATTGATTCACCTTTGAATGATTATGATTCTCTTTTTATCTCTCTTCTTTTATCACCATTGATCCATCTTTGTACGGTTATGATTTAGTAGCTGAAAATAAAATTATCTTAAGTAGCTTGAGAAACTATAAGCCCATATATATATATATATATATATATATATATATATATATATATATATATATATATATATCGTCGTGAATAGTACATTTTACAAAAAAGAAAAATGAAGTGTTTTGCATTTATTGTACCAACCAGGCTGAGTGTGAAGAGTTACAAAAGAGGGTGGAGACACTGGGAAGTGAGAATCGAACTCTCAGGGAAGAGCTTCAGAGACTTTCCGAAGAATGCGAGAATATTACATCTGAAAATAATTCTATCAAGGTAGATGTCTCTTACCATTCTGCCTTCACAAACAATAGCGTTTTATTATGCAGTGCAATTTATAGGTTGGCATGTCACAACCTTAAATTTTTATCATCTGAAAATAATTGCTTTAAACAGGAAGAGTTGGAACGGTTATGTGGGCCAGAAGCAGTTGCTAACCTTGGATGAAACAACGCCACATTAGTTCTTCAGTGTTGTGTTTGATGGCTACAGCAAAAATTGATAAGACTCTTAATTGAGACGAATATATACGCAGTGGGAATTTTCTTATCAGTTGCCAGGTCTCCTAATTGAGAATAGGATATAATTTTTTATTTTTTTTTTCTTGTTTTACTAATTGATATCATTAACCCTCAATTGTAATTGCCCTTATGATTTACACGTCATTTCTTGTAATATTTACCAATGCGGGAGAACATAAAATGTCGGCTACTTGAGCTCTTCTGTTTAGAATTTACTTTTACAACTGATGTTAAGAATCCAACTTCAATTTCTCAATTTTCACTGCCGTAAGTGTTAAATATTGAGTCATATTTTTATTCTCCTATATATCTATAATTGAGTTGATCGATGAAGTTGGGTATATGCAGCAACAACATTTTAGATTTGGGGAATGAAGGAGAGAATGAGGAGGAGGAGAATATTTTGGAGGGAAGGAGAAATTACAGATAAAAGAGAAAATCTAAGGAGAAGATTTGCGGAGAAAAGGAAAATCTGATTGGAAATCGAGTATAGAATTTGAGGATAGAGAGAAGAATGGGAGATTGCTCATGAATATTTTTTTATGGGAATTATTCTCTCATTCTACATGACATAATTATTTTATGTTATTTTCACATAAAAAATTATGTCATTATTTTTCTTTTTCTTTTTTAATTGGTGGTGGATTTCATCACAGCATGTGTTTATAATAAGAGATAATCATATCCAACAATATAATAAAATACATTTTTTTTTATATACATAATAATGTCATCGAAGTTTGAACGTCTCATCCAAATTTTACAATCCTTATACCATTCTAAGTAGTTTTCAATTCTTTTTGTATCCATTTCATTATCAACTTACCACTATTCGAGTTCTGCCACTGTCCTATTGTCTGCTCCATTATAAACAGTGACAAGGTGTGTCATCAAAGGTGATAATAGTTGAATAATCGTACTAGAATCTCCCTCTTCAATTTGTTTTTCAGCCTCTCGTGCTGAATGAATTATCCTACGAACGTAAAGAGAATCGTAAATTATATTGCATTAACACGACACGTCGACACGTTAATTTTAAAAAAATCGTATTTTGATATATTGGGACAAGTTTTGATATTAAACATTATTGTTTAATATAATATAATATCATTTATATTTAGTACATATAACAGTCCATAATAAGTTATATAATCAATTAAATATTCAAATTTCATAACATAAATATAAAGCAAAAGTAATTTTTCATATATCTTATTAATTTTTTTTCCAAATTTCATAATAGAAAAAAATTGACTTATGAATTAATTTTTCATTTTTAGTTAATAAAATAAAATTGATCTAAAAAAAACGTATCGGAGTGTTGACCGCGTGTCAGAAACACGTGTTGGAATGTGTCAGATCGTTGACCGCGTATCCTAAAATATTGATCTCGTGTCATATTGTGTCGGTGTCCGACATATGTCTGACACAATTTTTTTTCCAAAAAACATGTCGGTGCTTTCTTGATCGTAAATGCAACATAGTAGAGCCTAGAAGGAGGTCATCACGTTAAGGAGGAATTGGTGGGCTCATAGACCATTTGGAGTTATTTCTGTTTAAATTTTCCTATTTTGTATTTGGTTGGGAGATATTATTGTTTGGGGTCTTTGAGTGCCGGGCGCGGCGACCGGGGGGTGGGGGGGATCTAGCGACTTTAAATGACGCCCACAATCCCTTGCGATACTTATGTGATGTTTTTTTTTTTTTTTGGACAGTGCCGCCTCCACCCCATCGGCACTAATTCTTTATTACTTAAGTGCCACCCATCCCCCTAACGACACTCATTTTAAAATTAAGCATCTTTTAATTTTTTTTGTGCCGCCACCCCTTGGGGAACTCGGACGGCATGCTAAGTGGCATAATCTCAGCCGTACGAGCCCCACATTATCCTATTTTTTACCTCTGTGTTCTCGCTTTCAAAATTTCAGACCTGTAAACATTCTTCTATCTCTCTCTTTTTCCATTTGTAGCATTCTATTCTCCTTTGTTTTTTGAGAGACATACTATTTATTGGTTGCAACAAAGCGAAGCACAAGCTCTTCCAAAGCAAAAAAGCTCTAAGGCAAGTAATAAGTTAACATCATTTTCATTTTATTAATTAATTAAAATCATTTATTTTTTTTATTTATTTTAGATATTTGACATAATAATATTTAGAATACGCTAGTTTTTTTTTGGTAATCTAATACACTAGTTTTTTTTACTAACACAAGCATGTGAGCAATTAATTATATTTATATAGTTGTCATAATAAATAGTCATTGGAAAGTAGTGTTTAATATTTTAATAATATGATTTAAAATAATTAATTTGTAAATATTTAGGATTTTTTTAACTAGAAATAGTTGTTATAATTTTTGAGATTAATTATTTTGTGTTATCCTAATAACATAAGCATGAATAATTAATAATATATAGAGATTTTAAATAATAATTAATTTTTTTTTCATGTGTACTTAATTATATTTACATATTTGACATAATAATTAGTCATTGATGAGTAGAGTTTAGTATTTTAATAATGTAATTTAGAATAATTAATTGTTTTTAATATTTAGGGTTTGTTTTAATTAGTAACAGTTGTTATAATTTTAAATTAATTCTTTTGTGATATCCTAACATAGGCATGTATAATTAATATATAGAGATTTTATATAACAAAATATATTTTATGTTGATGTGTATAATGTTTTTATATTTAGATATTTGACATAATAATTGGTCATTGATGAGTTGTATTTAGTATTTGAATAATGTAATTTAGAATAATTAATTTGTTATTAACATTTAGGGTTTGTTTTAATTAGTAATAGTTGTATTAATTTGAAATTAATTCTTTTGTGATATCCTAACATAGGCATGTATAATTAAAAGAGATTTTACATAATAAAATATATTTTTATGTTCATGTGTAATTAATTACATTTACATCCATATAATTTTCATTATTTATAATTTTCACATAAAAGTATAGCCAAACCAAATTGCCTTTGCAGTCTGTAGGTGCCACACACAAATGCAGTAGTTACAATCATTTTATTTTAACTCTGCTCTATTACCATAAAGTATATAGAAATATAATTGTATATTAGAATTATTAAATCGGCATAGAAGCCTCAACCTGTCTAGCCCCTAGGATATAACACAAACGAAGGATGATAAAGGCATCAGTGTATTTATCAGTACGCACCCAGCATTCTCAGTGCAAAAAGAACAATGATAAATGCAAAACCTTTCATATTACATAAGGTTCACGTCATGTGTCCGTCAAATGAAACATGACTTCATATTTTAGTAGATTTGTATGGAAACTACAAATATTCAGTCATAGATACAAAATCTCAAATGTGATTTAGCCTGCAGAAATGTTCTCATCCCTCTCTGATAGGATAAACAAACTTTAACTTCTAATATACAGTTAAGCTGCATTGTTGGACAAAATTAAAGGACTTGCATTCTAGTTTTCCATGCTTTATTTCACTTGACGAGCTATATTATCACCTCTTCATTTATTCTTATGGTAGGGATGTGAGAAATCTTTGACATATGTTTCCCTAACCTATTCTTCTATCTTCCTTCCAATATAGGACAGTAGCTTGGATCTTCAACAAAGAAAGAGAGGAAGGTAACCTATCTTTGATATTTAAAAATAAATTCATATGTACATAATTAGGCAAAACAAGAAGGATTTGAAACGCATAATAGCAGCAAGAAAATAGGAATAAAGCAATAACCAAGCCAAATTTGTTATCATATTGAATCCCAGATCCCACATGCATCAATTAGCAACACATTACAATTTGAGTTGGAGAGCTATTTTGATGATATGAATATCATATATGAGGTTAGTATATGATTTGATGAAGCTTGATACTCATATTTGAGTATTTTGGAAAAGTCACTTCTGCCGGGTATTTTGTACTATTGTAGAAGCAGCTGGTAGAATCCCGAAAAGGGAAAAAGATGAGAAAATGGAATGAAAGACCAATATATGCCCAACAAGTCATAATTAGACCAATAATGTTAAAGTTAAGAATATTATGAATTCCGGGTACAGTTAAGAACACTAGTACAGACTACAGTACAATTAAACAACAGTAAGTGGATCTGTGGTATACTAATCAAATTTTTAAGTTAAGAACATGATAATTAAACAAATTTAATACTAATTACTTAAAGTTGGAGTTTTGGGTGTTTCTGGGTAGAATTTTGATAACAGTTCAAATAAAAATTACATCGGGTTTCACTAAAGGACAGAAAGTCACTTAAGTGACTTGGTCAAAACCCTAGAAGACTAGGGCACCCCTTCCCCTTCACCATTCAGCGACTCCTTCTCTCTCTCTCTACCATTTTTTAATTTCAAACTTTCTCCTCCTTCTCTCTAGATTTCCACCATCAAAACTCCATCAAATCACCAAACTTCCTTCACAAAACTTGTTCCTCTCATCCTCCTCTTCAACAAACATTCCTATTTTGTTCTTGGAAACCAAATTTGCGTGGTGGAAACCCTCACATACAGCCACGATTTTGGGGTATCTTCAAGCCATGGAGATGATGGTTTGAGTTATCTTGGAAGAACACTCCTTTGGTGCTTGTTTCTTTGAGTTTTAGTGTAAGTTTCTTGAATTCTCTTCTTGAAAAATCCTACCTTTGAGTTGTGTTCTTGAGTTCTAACTTTGATTCTTTCTTAAAGGTGTGTTCTTTGTGGAAAAGATGCATCTTTGCTTGAGAAAAGTGGAAGCTTGAAGCCTTGAAGGTAACTTGAAGATGTAAGCATGAATCTTTGGAGAAATTATGAACAAAATCCTCCTCCCTTTCACTATGCAATTCGACCATCATGATGTTTCTATGGGGTTGATGTTTGAATTTGATAAAAATGGGTTCTTTATGTTGTAAAGGGTGGAAAATTATAAGTGGAACCAAGGAAAATGTTAAAAATATAATCTTTAAGCTTAAGAACACTAATCTTGCTTAAGGAGGGGATTTAAACCCTAATGACACTATCATGTCAAATCTTCCCTAATGAGTATAATTAGGATTTTATGTTTAAAATTTAATTAAATAGTGGATTAGTGAACTAATTAAGTGTAGAATTAATTAATTAAGAAATGGTGGAATTAACAAGTGAAAAACCCATATTCAGTCAATGGAGGATGACTTAGGGCTAGTATGTAAAAATTGATGTTAAGACCTAATTAGGATACTAATCAAGGGTTAAAGTGAGGTGGACCATGCATAATGGTTTAATTAATTATA